TTACATCTTAAAGGCTTTGTTGTCCTTTTGTCATTAGTTTGTAATGGTGTAGGATTTATTTTTATTAATTCAATTTTGTGCTCAATCTTACCTGTATAGTCAACGTGGTTGAGTTCAAAAAGACGAAATAAGAATCAGTAAAATCAGGGTCAAATTACACCCCAGTGCTTTAGGCTAGATTTTTAAAAGATTTATTTTATTTTGTAGTTATTATGACATTAAGTATGTTTATTCATTTATTTGACTCCTGCTTTTACTTTTACAAAAAAATCAAGGCAGTGAACATATCCAACACAGTGATATATACAAAAAAGTATCTAAATTTTAATTGGGCTTGGCAAGTAATTTTAATATCTGCTTCAATCCTGAAGTAGTAGACAGAGTTATCTAAAGAGTGGATCAGTAAGATAATTAAGACAATTAAATAAAGAATTAAATATTAACTAGCTATTAATTATATGCAATGAAGCTTAAATTATAGTGAGATTTATTTCATGTAAAATTCTAATCCTGATGAGGAAGATATCACTTTAATTTTAAGGATTTCTCAAGGTAACTCTTTCTTCTGATAGATGCAGAAAAAAAGAACCAAGATCTTGAATACTGTAATAGCTGTATCCAAAACTTTGAAATCAAACTAAGATTGTATACCTGTATTCCTTCGAACCAATTGCCCCTTAAAGTTTAAAATTTTAAAAAAATAAAGTTTAAAAAATGCTGGTGTCTGCTAAATTAGTGAAACTCCTACTTCCTCTATTTTGGTGGGTTTTTTACTAAAATATTTCTGAAATTTCAGAGGCAGTTTTATATGTGTGGTGATGATAGCTGCTAGATTTTTTATCATAAATTAGTTTCAGTGTTATTTGCCCTCTCAAAGTTGAGGACCAAACAGCTTTCAGTATATGGGTCCAATAAACTCTACAAAAGCCAGACAAATTATACCGAGAAAAATTAAGTTGGGTTGAGAGAGTTAACAAAAGTAATTATGATCAAACATGTTTATTTGTTGCAGAATGGATGGATGCCTGATGGATGGGGAGAGGGTATGAATGGAAAACTAAGGGGAAAGGGTGTAATGAAACAAAATGTTTAGAATCATTAATTTAGCTACACCATACTATATTTGCCTATCATTTTAACAGAAATGTGTGCTATTCTTGGTGCTGAAGGTACTTTGCTTGGGTAGCGAATCTTACATTTAATCTTTAGCAGGCTAAACACTACTGCAATCTTTTGATGGTTGTTTTTTAGTTTCAAATGCTGAAAGGTAGAAGTAGCCAGATTCATCAACATTCTAAATAGGCAGTCCTTTTTAGTTTGTAAGATTAAAAAAGCAAATGTTTTGTGGATCATACATCTGCTCAGGTTGCTCATATCTTATTAGTAAGGTCAGGAGCAGAACTGAATGTATTCTTAACAGGCAAGTGACCTCATCTAGCAGCAACTGCCCTTTCCTTTTACTGCAAATTATCTTGTTCAACATTTGGGGAAAGGGAGGATGAAAAATTGGATAGACAACAAAAGTTGCTTCTACATGTTTAGTGGCTTGCATATAAATCCAGATTGGAGACCTTTTAGATAGAGGCCCAGTGGCAAAATGAAAATAGCCCTTTTGTGCCCTATATTTGTAAAAACCTAATTTCATTATCCAAGATTTTCAGCATTCTCTGAAATATAAATCAAGCCTAGTTTTCTTACAAACATGTGAAATGCCATGAATAGTATATAGTAACAGCAAAAACATTTGCTAGAAACTTAATATTCTTAACACTTTAAAAGAGAATAAAAAAACTATTATGAATACAGTGGGACATGTTTACTTTTATTATATATTGTTAGTTTTAACTGATGGTTTTTGTTGCACAGTAATTTTTAATCTGATGTTTGTACATTGTCTTTATATAAACATCACATAAATAATAGAAAAGTACCTTTTTCTTTTGTTTTACCCCATCCAGATATGTAACAGGGATACTGTTGATTTTTCAAAAGATTTGTGGCAGGTAAGCAGATCGGGTGAACATAGTCATTGAATTTGATAGATCTGACTAATATTATCAATGCAATATCATTGTCATGTGTGTTTGCCATATAATTAGGATGTATATTGATAGCTTTAATCCGACGTTTTATTGTATGAGAGTTATCTTCATTAAGATTATGCAAGCCAATTACAGCCCTCCAAATGGCTGGGTTCCTATGACAGAACAAAACTTCTATAGGGATTATTGTTCTTATTATACATTGCTATTTTATAACTTCTATGACATGGACATTGGGTTTTTTTATTCCATTCAGCGTGAACAATAAATCACTGTACAGATTAAAATTGAATTATGTGGCTAAAACAAGGATCACTGCAGAAAATGACAGAAACACCAATAAAAAATATTCTTTCTCTATACATACATATATACTATCACTTCACTCAATTAAGTATCCTGCTTCCCATAGTGACTACTGCTCAGATGCTTATAGGAAATCTACATATGTCTCTCTGATGGTAGCATATACTCAGCATTATTTATAGCCAATGAAAGTATTTTCCAATCTATGGCAAAAATGTTTCCAAATAGATCTGCAGAATGTTGGAAATGCAAAGACAACCAAGGTACATTTTTTTCATATGTGGTGGTCTTGTCCGGAAGCTAGGAAGTACTGGACCAAAATAAGAAAATGGCTAGAGGAAATCACGAGTCAACGAACTGAGATAAAACCCGAACTATTTCTAATAGGGATAATAAGAGGAAACCATAACAAGAAAATTCAATGTATTATATTGTACATAATGACTGCAGCCAGAATAGTTGCGCATAGGCGCAAAGCTGGAAACAGGACAGCACGCCCTCTGAGAGAATGATGATAAAAAAGGTGTTGGATTGTGTGGAGATGGACAGGCTGACATTAGAATTAAAAGAGGGGAAACAGAATATTATTTGGTCTGGGACACATGGTATAAATGGTTAGAAAACAGAAGTAAAGATTAAATATAAAGGTAATTTATGAAAAAAGATGTAGGGGTGTGTGTGTGTGTGTGTGTGTATGTGTGTATGTATGTATATTAGCGATGCTGAAGCGCTGCAGATTGTAAAAGTGATATAAAAGTTTAAATTTTATTCAGTTTCTATATCAAAACTAATCAAATCATTAATCTGGCCACAGACCAGGTTTAATCAGTTTCTGCAATGTCACAAGTATTTACAAGTAATGCTAGTACCCAAAATAGTGTCCTTTCCAGTATATTAAATTTAAATTTTAGGCTGATATATTGCAAAGTAAAGAACAAACTTCAATACATTTTTAAGATCAAAGTGTCTTTGAACTCTAATATATTTGGCTGTACAAAATGTTTGAAACATGCCTGGATACCCAGAAGATAAGTTTAGGCTGGCAGGGAAAATCCTGTATCAGATAATAGGTAGGTAATAGGTTTACCTATCATTGACAGCATTTGCTTCACTCTTCTGTTCTGAGAATTTATCTGGAATTCTGGAATACCACTGTTCCAAAAGGCCACAGACAAATTGAAATAAATTCAGAAGAAGGCCACCAATATGGTGACAGATCTGGAAACCAAGTCCTATGATGAACAGCTACAGGATCTAAACGTTTAACCTACAGAAAAATGATTTGAGCATTTCTTAAGTCTACAAGCCAACAGCTATTAGAACAAGCTGCCACATCTGTAAGTTTTTCTTTTTTAGAGATCTTCAAGCAGAGGCCAGATGGTTATCCACAGAAGATTCTCCAGTGGATTTTGCACTCAGCAGGGGCTTGGTTAATGTGCTGCCAAAAATCCTTCCAACTCCTAATGTTGAAACAGTGTTATCCATGCATCCTTCAGCTAGCTGAAAAATAATGTATATATGTAGGCAGTGGTAGGATTCAATTTTTTTTTACTACTGGTTCTGTGGGCATGGCTAGGTTGGCATGGCTGGGTAGTCATGTGAGTGGGTGGGCATGGCCAACTGAATGTCACTCCCACCCAGTCACATGACACACACACCCCGAGCCACACCTCCCCAGGTTTTGTGGCTCCCACAAAGATTCTGTGGGAAATGGGTCATGTGACTGGGTGGGCATGGCCACCTTGATTGGTCTCACCCTTAGGAAATTTCTCCTTAGTCCAACTCACAATAAAATAGCACAGTAAAATAGCACTGTTCCAATATTTAGAATAGAATAACAGAGTTGGAAAGGACCTTGGAGGTACCTTTTAGTCCAACCCCCTGCTTAGGCAGGAAACTGTACACCACTTCAGACAAATGATTATCCAATCTCTTTTTAAAAACTTCCAGTGTTAGAGCATTTACAACTTCTGGAGGCAAGTTGTTCCACTGATTAATTGTTCTGTCAGGAAATTTGAGGGGCTCCTACAAAAATGAGGGAGTCAATCTATTTTCCAAAGCACCAAAAGGCATAACAAGAAACAATGGATGGAAACTAACCAAAGAGAGAAGCAACCTAGGACTAAGGAGAAATTTCTTAAGGGTGAGACCAATCAACCAATGGAATAGCTTGCCTTCAGAAGTTGTAGGTGCTCCATCACTAGAAGCTTTCAAAAAGAGTGAGGGAAGTACACCCCAAAAGGACAGTGCCAGGAACTACTAAAACAATGCAGAAAACTTAAAACAGCCATTTTAAAAAAAAGTCAACCCCAAAGCAAATGCAGCAGCTGAGAGGGAAACTAAGAGCAGCAGCTCAAGCTAATTGAATGCTGCCAAAAGCCATTAACCCTTCCAACTCTAATATTATACGTCCTCTATGTTCTGAATTGGGTGCTTCACAGCAGAAGCAATACAGCTGGCTGGACCACACAGGTATTACATTCACAGCCTGTATGATCAAGTTACATCATTGTCCCCTCCTGTGTCTTTTCCCCCAGGAAGAAACAAGTAGCAGCCAACACTGCAGCAGCTATAAAAGGTCTTGGGGAACTCCAGGGAAAATCAGCTGATCACAGAAATGTTACTTAATATTCTTTATAATGAAAATGTGTATAATTTTGTCCTTCCTGAAGGGAAGAAGTTAATCCCATCCCTAGATGGGTGATTGATGGGTTTCCCTGCCCTAATCCTGTCAGTTTCTGTTGTTTATTGACTTGATTCAGCATGTATGGCTGCATTCCAGCTGCAACTGTTAAGTGGTTCTTGGCTGTCTGTCTGGACCTATTAACTGAAGCGAGAGAGGAAAAAAAAACTTCCCTTGCACTTTATTTTTAACCGGTTCACTGAATTGCATAAGTTCGGGAGAATCAGTGAAAACAGGCTGAATCCCACCTGTATATGTAGGCATGGATCCATCCATCAGATTTGGAAAACAATGGCGGGGAAGTGAGTGGAGAAGACAGCATGGTGAGCCTATTGCTTTTCTCACAGCCCGATTTTTGATAATTTTTGTCATTTATGTTTTATTAATATTTGATTAATTGGCCATATTAACAGTAAAAATGTCTTAAGAAAGGTAATCCCTGAAATGGTGAAGAATTAAGTCTTACATAGATCACTAAGATGACTCAAATGAAATCCAATTCTGGCAGTGAAAAAGAGATGACAGAGAATGAAAATCCCTGTCAGTGGTCTGAAGGCTGAGTGCTGCTCAAGAAGCCTTGAGGATGATTTAATAGGAAATACAATTAAGAAATTTAAACAAGAAATTGGATAAATGAGACATTTGGATTTGAAAGGATTTGCCATGTTTGAACAAATACACAACTAAAAGGTTTGTCTTCTCAAGATTTAAAGATCCCCAAATAGCTAATATGCTGTCATTATGGGAAATGAGTTTAGTTATGAGAAAGGTCCAGAAAATGTTACTGACACCAACTGGATTTGGCTATACACAGATTTATCACAGATGATATTTTCTGAGAATTAATAGGAATCACAGGAAATGCAGAAAGGGCTAATTTAATTGGATATTTAAAACTTAAGTGATCAGATTTAAAGTTTTCAAATGCAATGTGTTGATAGAGATTCTTATCTTAAGTTCAATCAACTGCAAAAGCCAAGAGATAATATATTCATAAAAAAATAATCAGGTAGAAACAGAAAATTCAGCAAAAAGCCCATGGACTAAAAAGAATAAACTGGAATGGAAATCAAGTGTTACATTTCAAGATACTAGCTCTGCCATTATTAAAAAGAGGAATAAGGTAGAAAAGGGGGGTGGGGTTTCCGTTCAATTATTTCAACAAGGAAGAGATATTGTTTCTAGACCCTCAAAAATAAAGAATGAATTATCTAATAAACATAAATATTTCATGAAGAATTAATAGAGAACCAACTGAAATGTTTAAACAACTGATACTACTTATGAGAAGATAATACAATGAGATCCTTTAATGTTCGGGACTCATAAGATGGCAGCTAATTGTAACATAATTTTTAAAATAATTTTTATTTGTACATTTTTCTTTATAAATGTTTGATGTTTCAATATATTGGGAAATAAGGCAAAATATTAAACAGCGAAGTATTATTAGACATTATTTAGACATAAGATTAGCAGCAAAGGAAGGAGCTTGAGCTCAGTGTTAACATTCCCCTAGAGACTTGTTGGCAGGTGTAATTAATTCACTGTGAATTCAGTTCACATGTAGTCTAAAAAGATTGGAAGGGTATGGCTAGTAAGAGTAAATGGAAAAGAAAACTGGAGGTAGTCTGTGGAAAAGATATGAGGCAAAAAAGGGTAGCTAGAAAAAAATAGTTTCACTAATATAGTCACAAATGTGTTGGTAGAATACATGAGATTTCATTGTTGGTAAGTTTGTTTTGCAGGAATGGTAAGCCACACAACAGCAGAAATGTAATACAAATAGTCCTCAAGTTATGACGACAATTGGAATTTCCATTGTTAATTGATGCAATCAAACTGTAACATCATGTGACTGCATTAGACAGAAATTCCTACAGTACCCAATGTCATTGTTAAGTGAATATCCTGGGACGTTAAGTGAACACCTCCTCACATCTTCCTGCTAATTTCCAACAAAGTCAGTGGGAACCCAGCAGGAAGTTGCAAGTTCCAGGCAGTTTGCAAGAAGGCTGGCATGCATGTGACTGCTATAGGATGAGAAGATACAAGAGGGTGGGGAGGAAAGAACAGACAGCTTGGAGAGGGTGTGCAAGCTATTGGGACATATACATATTTACCTTCTTGAGAGGAGGTGATCATTTAACAACATAAGGTGATGGTCACTGATTTAGATTATTTTTTAAAAAATGAACAAATTAAAAAAGAATCAAATTAATCAAGGCTGCTAATCTTAGGAATATTTATTATCTTCAACTTGTAACAGTGAAGGAGGAATATTAGTGATTCAGCTTCCGAAAGTCATGTTTGGCTACTGTGTAATAAAGATGTTTGCTTGATGATCTAATTGTCTGAGCAAGCAGATTTCTTCCTTTCATTGCTGTCCAGCAGAGATGCTAGAGGAACTGAGAACCAGATGTTTTAAATGGAGAAATTGGATGAGCCATCTAAAACTGGTAAGTTAAATCATGGAATAATAAAGTAGTTGTAGGAAACAGAAAAATTTAAAAATTGAATATAATATATTATATGCTAAAGCAGAGATAAGTATTATTGTAAAATAATGGGAAATGGCTCATAACAATTAAAAATATTTTCCTCTTCTCTTATTCTTGCACACAAGTATTTATCATTAAAATAATTAGGTTTGGTCCTGGTAGCTCTGAATATGAGTCTTTTATTACTCTAGGATTGGATATGAAAAAGCTTCAGATCAAATAATTAAACAAATCTGTTGAAAGCACCAAAATTCCCCCTACACTCTATCTGTGTGATCCTTGACAAATATTCTCCTTTATTAGATCCTTGACAAGTAGTATGAAGGTACACCTGCTTCAAAACTCAATTCTGTATAAGCTAGGAAAGAAATGTTAAATCTCAGTTTTTCATACATAATTATATAATATTTGGTCCATACTTCTTTGGTCAGTAGATTTATCACACCCAAATTGAAGAAAAAGTATTAGAATGGAAAGATACATACTCTGACATTTTAATGCAGTGTGCTGCTGTCAACACTATGATTTTATTAATTAAAGATCCACCACATATATGGACATATCCTAGACCAATTGCATAAACTTGAAGACTAACTTGCCAAGGCCATGCTCCTAGCATAGCATCATGTCCACCTATAATTCGAGTTCCTGTTGCTGTATTTTTCATAAGAGGCCTTGTTCCACAGACTAGAAATCAAAGAAAAATAAGTTAGCCATGTAAGAAACGGCATTCATGCAGCAACAATATAGTTAAAGCAGTGTTTAACAAAAACCACTTTCTATAAGAAATGAAACAAGAGTGAAAGGTTTGAGAAACTGAATCACTCCCATTTAGGTTGTATGACTCTAGTCTAAACCATATATATTTACTAGCCAATTTTATCTTGGCCTACTTGTATCTAGTCAGCCTCTGTAGTTAATTTATGGTTGAGTGTGTTGCACACAAAAAATACACCAGAATTAACAGGGGGAATGGAATGGTGAAATGTAGCTGAAAACAAAACGTATCACATAAATATTCGAACTTAATTCCTTCAGGTATAGGATCTTTTACCCGTGTTTCAATACATGGGTAAATGAGGCACAAAATCTAAACAATGATCCCAAATTGCATTCAGTTATTACCAATTTTAGAACTGATAACGCGTCAGACATAATTTAGTATGTAAATTACAACCTTGGCCTCAGCGTTCTTTCTTCTGTTACTACCCATAGTCCCGAATCTTTAATTGCTTTATTTCTGAGCTTCCCACTCCAGTTACGATGGCCTAATTACCGACATTTCCCCAAGAGCTGGGAACAGGTAAATTATAACTATTTTCGAGTAGATCCCAGCACAGAAACACCCCCTCCCCCAATTAACTTCGATCTGTCAGGCTATCCCGTCCTGAGAAGCACGGTGGCGATCAACCGCCGAGCTCAACGCCCTGCGAAGACTCAAGGCTCACCGTCAGAAAGATTCTGGGATGACAGGGTTTTGGGCGCAACTTCCCTGAACAGCAGAAGCGAAGCCCAGAAGGAAAAGGCGGCGGGGCAAAAGTTGCGGCTCATCGTCCATCCAGGGAGAAAAATGGCGCCCGACTTCGCGCGCGTTTTACTTGAGGCGAGGGCCGCTAAGGGCCAGCTGACAGGGAGTGCGAGAGCCAAGACTCTCCTCGCGGGAAGTCGCCTCGCTAAGTCGCTGCTCCGGCGCAAATCGAGGCACGGCCACCGAGAGGGGAAAGTGGAGGTTTTCCTTCCAAGCGGTCACTGAACTGAAATAACCGCTGGCTGAACCAGGGGATTCCGGGCCCTCCTCACCACCATATAACGGCTCCTTCGGCTATTCTCACGCTGATTGGCAGGCCCCACTTGCTTACCTTCCAAAGTAATGGGGATGCAGCCTT